ACAGAAACTTGGTTATGCCATGGGTCTGCTTCCCTCTGAGCTCCAGCAAAATGATGAAGTTATTCCCAGACATGTGACTCCTGGTGAGTACTACTGATGAAATGAATCCATGATTTGTAACAAAACCTGGGCTGCAGGAAACTTTTTGCCAAACTTGACAGGGATAATAACTATTATTGTCCTAATTCAGTTTGAGCAAGTCTTTGTTCAACTTGGTAACAGCTATAAATATTCTTTGAATTCAGACGTGTAAGCCAAGCTCTTTAAGGTGCCACCACATCCCTCGGGAAGGAATCCCACCGAGTCCGGTGCTCCGAAGCAGCTTTGCTCAGTGGCAGCACAGCTCCATGGTTGCACAGCATGGCTGGGAAGATGTGAGGGAGGGAGGGTGGTACAGCAACATTATACTCTGAAAACCACGTTCCAAAAGAAGGGAGTCTGTGAGCCTGGCAGGACGTGCTGCTCTATCGGAAGAGCCGGTACAGCCGCGGGAGCCGCCCGTCCTTGCTGGAAAGCGCTGCCTGGATGTGCTCATAGGAGGGCAGGTCTGTCAGGTCACCCAGGGCAGCCACAGCTGGCTTCTTGTGGAGCATCTTAGTGACCACCCTCTTGATATCAGTAGGTTTCACCTGACCTGCAGGCAAAAAAAAAGGCAGAGCTGTGACAACATCATAAGTAGAATAATACTCAGAAAAACAATCACTGACTCTTTTCTTCTATGCTTCTGGTTTTCCCTTCCTTCTGACTAAATAAGCCCTGTGCTACCTTGAAAGCAATCAAGAACAGTTTGAAATATATTTGTGCAGTATTTATGCCCCCAGGCTTTCTCAGGCAATTCAGCTGTGCTGCAGGAATATGTTCTAAGTTGTCCTGCCCCAACTGTACCTACAGTTCACTCAAGGCAAGGCACTGTGTACTCACCAATGAGGGCACAGAGCTCATGAGGTAGCTTCCTTGTGTTGGTGGCCAACACCTGCCTTCCCACATCCTCAAAGATCACTGGCCTAGACTCGAGGTTCATCATGAGCATGGACTTGAGCTGTGTCTTCGCTCGCTCGAGTTCTACCTGTGAAGGAGCAGGAAATACAAATAATGTTCCAAAAATTCTGGTGGCTGCTCTCTAACAGAAGATAACATGGAAGAGTTCTACAGTGTGTTCACGGAATCCCAGGATGGTTTGCTTGGAAAGGACCTTAAGGCTCATCTCTTTCCACTCCCCTGCCATGGGCAGGGACACTTTTCTCTTGGAGCAACCCCAGGTTGCTCCAAGCCCCATCTAACCTGGCCTTGAACAATTCCAGGGATTATTTCAACTCAAAGAGCGTCTGCAAGTTCAAATGTGCTACTGACCTCTCCCACTGCTCCTGCCATGAGGATGAATTCTCTGGTGATGATTTCCACCATCTCCCGAACCTACGGAGAACAGATCATTGAAAGAAGATCAGAACAACACTTACTGTGTCAACTCTCTGGTACTGAGTGATGTGGTGACTTTTTAAGGACACCTGTCTTTGAATACAGGACTCTGTACCTGTTTGGGATCTGCACTGGCATGGATACACAGGAGACCTGTGTCCTCGTAACTGTGGTGGTAAGAGGTTGCATTGTACATCCAGTGGTGCCTGTGGGTATACAAACAGCATTTTCAAATTTAAAACCCAAAATTTACATGTAAAAATTAAACAAACACAGACAGTGAGTGCCCTCCCAGTGCACTTTCAGGATTCTCAGCAGTGCCTATGAGACTTTCACCCTCTCAAAATGCCAACTGACAAACCAGTCCCATGCTTCAAGCAGAATAACCTGACGATGTTTGCTTTCATTTTTTCCATATGAACCTGCTGGAGGACTGTTTCTGCCACCCCTTAAAAGGCAAACCAACCTGTTGAGCACATTGAGGTACAGTCGGGTGAACATGCCCTTGCCAGGCCCTCCAGCTGAGAAAGAGCCACCACCTCCCATCATCATGTTTAGCACCGCAAAGGGAATGAAATCGTCCTCCTGAATTGCAACAAGAAATTCAGTCAGATCATGGCAGAGCTCTCAAGGGTCTGGGGTCAGTAAAGGGGAGGGAAAGAAAGAAATATGGCACAAGAAGAGTGGGAAGGTCAGTGCCTGCATCAAACTGTCAGTGGAAAAGCTGCTTGTCTGAGCATGCAGCAGCAAGAGTGCCAATGTTTTTGTAATGAGTCACTGTTCTGGGATTCTTCAAGTACAGGGCTCCCAAAACAAGGGACTTTAGGTTAATACTTACTAAAAATGAGCAGCTTTCTAACCCAATCATGATGTGGGTGAGCTCTGGGATGGGAGTAGGGCCCAGACTCACATCTGACATGTCTTTTTCAACCTGTGGGAAGAGCAGACAGGTTATTAAGACTGATTTTCACTGCTGTTGCATCCAGCTTGATACATTCCTAATAATTAACCTGTCACCCAATTACCAGCTGTCACAGCCACTTTTGGCTCATACTCAGGAACAGTATGTAACTTTAGAAAAGCGAAAACCAGCTCAACTCCAAATCTGCCCTTCCAACTGACAGCAGAGGGGCACGACACCACTTGCACCCCTTCACCCCTTACCTTGACGATGCCTCCCGTGTACTGAGCCACGGACCTGTCCACGCCCCTGCTCTGCCCAGTGCCCCACACGGGCTCCACTCCCAGCAGGTATTTCCTGGCACACTCCACCAGCTGCTCGTGCTCGATGCCCACCCCAGCCAGCACCATCCTGTCAGGGGTGTAGTAGCTGCGCAGGTACGAGTGCAGCACGTCCCGATCGATTTTGTCCGTGTTCTCCACGGGGCAGAACCTGTTCAGTCCAACTGTGTTGTCTCTGAAGGCTGCCTGAAAGGGAACAGGCACATTCAAGTAACAAATATCACCTCACCCCCCTAAAGCCCTCATCTAAATCTTCCCTTTCTGTTTTGGAATTAAGCCGACCTGTTTGAGACATGTAAAAGAGGAAAGGCTGAGCATTATTTCATTAATCAACATACTGTCACCCACATCAACAAAGGTTAAGTTGCAGATAGTTTTTTTTAGTTTAGGTTAGAATCTTTCACAAGTGTAGAATGCTGGATTTCAGAGTGGAGAGACACCAAAATTCTCCCATCACTGAAATCGAATCGAGTAACAAAATAACCTGGTTTCAGAATAATGTAAAATAAACCCTGGAGTTGACAGAAAAATGAGAAGAATGCAGGGGACTGCATGCAAGGTGGAATTTTCAGTGTGTTACCGCATGGATCATCTCAGTGAGCAGAGGCTCTGGGTCAGGCCTCATGTTCAAGTCCTCCAGCTCAAACCGTATGGCCGTGCGGGTCATCTCGATCTCCTCATCTGGAACAGGACAGAGAGCAAGAGATAACAACCCCAACTGCTGCAAGGGAAGTTCTTGATGAGCACA